TATCATTTACCGTCATCCGCAGACCAACCCCCCCCCCTAATTTAGAATGACGTAATATATGGACGGCCCCTAAGGCAAATAGTTAATTGAGAAAATTCTTAGATTTAAGCATTTTACAATAAGAAATCACAAATTCAAAGAACGTGAAATACCCAAAAATCAAAGTGATTTTTACACCATTATTCTTCTATAATCCAACATAAAAATAGCTTAATATAATAAAATAACATCTTCTTTAAAATATTTACTTTGAAACGATATACAGGGTGGAAACGATAAGTGATCTCACTCGATTATTTCTAAACTATACAAGATATTGAAAAACTGGTTACTGATCCTGAAAGTGCTTCACGAGCTCTTTTAAACGGTATCAGTAATAAGTTACAGAATAAACTGGAACTATCCGAAAATTCAATGTTTCCAGCTTTCATACTAAATGTATGCCAACCACACAATATTAGAAGTGGACTTTATTTTTTGTTAAATAATAAACTTAAAAATAAAAATAAACGTTTCCACCCTGTATAATTCATTGTTATTGTTTTGCTATAAACATTTGAAAAGTATTAAAAAACGCCGCGCGCGAATCATTTCCAATGATGCCCCTTGAAACGCCGCGCTTCGCGTAAACGCTCTTAAGCGAGCATCGTTTGTGAATACGGGCGCATATGCCTTTTTTCCGTGATGCGGCGGATTTCGTCATTTCAATAATCATACATTATCACAGCGTGATTATCACTGATTGGAATAATAGAAGCTATTTTGTGTACTTGCCATTTGAATAATATGGATATTTCCCGAATCCCGGGATTTGCTTTTTAAGTACAAAAATCATCTATTCGTTTGTTTCCATAATGCGGCGATATCACGCGTTTCAACAAGTCAGCAGCAACGTCGCAAGTTTGATAAAAAAAAATTTATAAACGTGTTGCTGATGTAAAAATTAAGTCGCTCGTACGCTTATTACATACACTATTTTTATACTTATTGATAAAAAGATTTAAATTAATTAAAATCCCGGAGTACAGATTACAATTCGCATGCGTGCCGAAATCCGCATCACAGCAAAAAAGGCACCTATTCAAAACACATTGAGTACATTCAATAACTTTCTGAACAGTCATATCTACAAAAACTTGCAAATGTATCTGATTTATAGCTGTGATCTTGATGTTTACAATACTAAAACTTGAGTGTTTCCAACTAAGTCAATGCTTTGCGTAGACCCTCTTGATACTGCTATTATAACCGTGTATTTGAACGAGTTGGTACATTTCTCTTCACTCTGACAATTTACTTTGTAGCTCCACCATCCTTTAGTAGACAAAGAAACCCGTCGACATTTTTACTTTTTAGAACTGCTATTAATTACTATTTATGTTAATATTTACTTCGTTACGTGGCGTCCTTGAATCTTGCCAGCTAGATCAACATAAATAAAATGACATGTAAATTCATTTATTTATAATAAAATATGGTAACACTATCTCTTACTTATAACTTGCAAAAGAAATGAGACCGTTGTTTCCTTGTCTACTCAGGGGTTCAATTTCATAAAAGAACATAGTAAATTCAACAAAACATCAATAATTTTGTTGATTTTACCATAAGTAGCCAATGTGAAATGCTTGATGTTCCAACTAGCCTACTCTAATTCTGACTGCATATTCTTGTTTTATAGCACGATTTCTCCCCCCAGACTTCCCTTTGATGTATGTCTTCATGTTGGGCGCGGCTGACGCCCGAGATACATTGTCAGTTGCTCGCTTTTGAATGCTTAGATTCCGTGCTTTTCGTGATTACCAATAACTTAGTTTTATTTGCAAATCAATAGACGTGACTACTTATCTGGGCCGAAAGTTTTCTCTTAGTATACAAAAAATATAACTTTATAAAGGTTGAGAAAAGTATCTGTAAAGATTGAGAGGCAGATGAAAAACTATTTTCACCATTTGAGCCATATCCAATGTTTATTCGACCAAACTTTGATCCGAGAATAACTCCTAGTATAACTAGCACATTGACAGTTTTAGTAATATGATAAAATATGTCAAAACTGACGATTTATTCTGAGATTAGTTCACCCTTATTTGGTCGAATCCTCCCTAACTTGACTGTTTAACTTCACCTATCCCTCGCTGTGCGTACGAGCGTGCAACTAACAGTGTGGTGACTAACTGGTCCGCAGCGGGCGCGCAGTTCGCAGCGCCGCGATACTACCAGCCGATGCTCGCCACCGCCAACGACTTCATAGGTAACACGCTTCGCTCAGCACTCTTACTACTCTTACCGGTGTCTTACGGATCCAGACGGGTGTAACGTGTAATGTAATGGAAATAGTGAAATAATGGGTATAGTCAGGGAGACCAGACTATACAGCACGTAGAATTTCGTCCAATGACCCCAAGCTACCCATCCTTATCGCTCGCGCGCTTGGACGAATAAACCACTGGACGCGTAACGAGTGACGTTTTCGTCTTTACCCCGCTAGCACTTACCAAGGCTAAATTAGCCATGGTAAATGTTGTCAGGTTGTCACTTTGTCAGTATGACGCCAGCTCTCGAAGAGTAAAAATATCACGAAAAATGGGTAAATGCGCCGTACTTTTTTGCAAAAATTATTCCTGTCACACAAGAAATGTTTCTTATCACGCGTAAGTACATTTTAAATCTATTATAGTAGCTATTTTTTCGTAAAATAAATAAAATTTGATATGTAAACAAAATATGATTACGTCATTTTAAAAAGTACTCATTGTACATGTAAATGCTTAAAACATGTAGCATATTTAATTTGGTTGGATTATAGGTTTCATTCATTCATTCACATCTCATTTTTTATGACGTAAAGGGCTTGAAAAATGTCGATAAGTTTATCGATATACCAAACAAACTGAAACTGAAATTATTCAAATTAATTTTAGATTTTGATAGATTTTTTTGTTTTGATAATTTTAGTCACATGAAACAAAAGATTATGAGATAGACATAGATGGAACATACAAAACAAGCACACCAGTAAATGTAAGTAATAATTACACCTTTTTTGAAATATGTTGTACATCAAAATACTGGTCAAATTTGAATAAAATATTTTTGATGTTGATTGATTTTTTGGCTTTATTTTAGTCACATGAAACAAAAGATGATGAGATCCACACAGATGGAACATACAATTTAAACTTTTCATTGCATCTAAATATTAATAATGTCATCACTTCTCGAATGACCTAAACATAAGAATATCAACAACATTAGATAAGAATTAAATATTCTCAGATAGTGCATCCGTACTGCAAGCGCTACAAAGCAATACATTGTCATAATGTTATCAAATTGTGTTTCATGAAATGTATAGAAATAGGCTATTGATGAAACTTTTGTCCGTGACGTGAGACAGATTATAACATTTGTTGAGACCAAAAGCTAGTTAGCAGTCGATCGTAACAGAATATTACTTGTTTATTGCTTTACGAATTTGATAATGATAACACAGCCAAAAAATATTTCACCTAGTTACCTACCTATATGAATAAGTTGTAATATTATTTGTACCTATGATTTACCAATGGCATTATAATAAACACGATACAATAATTAATTATAGTCTTTCAATTAAAGAAACTTTCAATATTAAATCAATCCATAATTCATTTATCTCGTTAGGTTCATTCATTCATTTACATAACTATCGATAAAAATTTACGATCTTTTCCCAGCACTAAATGTCATTATTTGACAATTGTCAAACCTCTCCCTCCGCAAAAAGTGGTTGATCGTGTTTCCTTAGAAATCTTGTAGGTTTCGTGTCCAGTGGTTTATTCGTCCAAGCTCGCGCGTAATTATATTGCTGTCGCGAATGTGCGACGGGCGCCCGCAGTGAGTGTGCTACGCTAGCTTGGGGTCATTGGACAAAATTCTACGTGCTCGGAGACCGGGCTTTAGCACTTTACATGTAATGCTCGTAGTGCCGTCCACACGTAGAATTCGTGTTACATTACACGTAATATTACATTACACATTACACCCGTCTGGACCCAACTGTAGGTGAACGTCAAACACGGCAACGCGATGTAACCCAATACGAAAGTATCAAGTAGTCGTTTAAAATAGTATAGTTCCAATATACTGAACTGTCCTATCCATGACATTGACAGCGGGGCGCCACCGTCGAATACCGGATCGCTGGTTCCGATTTTTGCTATGTTGGAAAGCATATAGTTGAACGATGGTAGCGCCCCCCTGTCATTGAGTTTGGTGGGACAGTTCAGCGTGGGTCATCTATACGTCACTTGAAGTATAGGTCGCATCGTTTCATGTCGCGTTCCGTGGTTCATCTAGGACAAATCCTTTACTAATTCAACGTTACACGTAGTTTAAAATGTCATTTTTGCGTATTTACGAGCTTGTATTAGTACGGGATTATTTGGGCTGATTTCAAAGCTTATCGGAGATTTTTTCGGAGAAATAATCTTAGTAAAAGAATAGAAATATCTTAGTTATGTTGTGGTCGCTGTATTTATAAGGTAATAGATAGAACTATGTTGTTTTACAGTTCACAAAAGTTTTAAAATCAGCCTACAATTTCAAGGCGAGCGGTAGGAGTGGACCAATCGACCGATGTAACTGATCTATGTGTTTCTAACTGCTTCCCTTTAACCGTTTGTTTCCTCTCTCGCTCACACCGCTTGCCTCCCCCTATCTGTGTCTATAAGTTAATTTTAATGTGTTCTTCCCATCTCTAGCACTGTTCTATGCTTTGCGACGAATTTCTGACTTTACTTATGGACTCTTAACTGTACATTTACCCTAATGTGTTCGCCGCAATGTATAGCGTAGTAAAGTTTCAAATGTGCCTTGAATTGAATGGATGTGTTTCCCAAATTACTGCATTTTGTTTTGCATTTTTTAACTTACGTTAATGTTAATTTTAAATGCAGCATTTCTAAGGACGTTCGAAATGAGTACTTTTTTATAATTTTATTTCATTGAGCTATGTAAATGTACAGGTAATGTTTTACTGCTAGAAATTATCATGAAAAAACTCAGTTTGTTATCTTGCTAGAAATCATTTTGTTTACAAGATATCTCTTTCAAGTTGATCCTGTATCACATAAAATTTTAATAGTCACAAAAGTCTTGCTAGCTCATAAAAAGTGTCTGAATTGTCAAGCCAATTTTTAATCACAACGGTAAAGCTCTTGGCTCGGGTTCTACTGAAAAGATGGAAGCGAGCTTCACCCAGAAACCTGAACCACAGAGGAATCAGTCTTTTTAACGTACGTCGCGTGCATCTTACTGATGCAATGGCCGGAGGAAGCGAGCTTCACCCGAAATCCTTTGGGCCTCCGCTAAAACTGCGCGGGCGGCACACGTGTCTGTAGAAAAATATAAATGAATAAAAATATCTCATATGTACTCTACATATGAGCAGCGCATATGTATGACGGGTTTCCTATACGCACGAGCCGCGGGCGTGCATTTCCGTCCATTAATAGGCGCTCCGTGCACCCGCGCAAGTTTTAGCGTAGGTCCAGGCTACTTAACCATAGAGAAATCAATCTATTGAACGAGTGTTGCGTGTTACAGTGCAACAGCAGGCGCTTCAGACGTCTGGACAGCAGGTGGGCGGATTCCTACCGGCTGGCATGCTGCCGCCCTCGCGTGCCTTTAACCAGAACCTCATCCATCAGAACTTAGGTGAGGGTAGTCTTTGGACTCTTGGTATCGGTTCATCTCTTGAACGTAGGCGAACAGGTTGCTACTTTAGAATTGGTGAAGTCACTCATTGCAATCGTGTTAGTCTAGAAAATTCCAGAAAACAGCTTTATTGGATTACCGGTAGATTGGTAAATAAATACACGACTGCATGATTTATCTCCAAAAGTTACCGCAACTGAGTAAGACTTTAAATACATTAAGGTTATTCATATCGATTGAAAGTCCTCAGTTATTGTGGAAATAGTAACCTATTTAACCTTTGCCTACACTTTTACTCTCAGCCATCATCCTACCCTAAACATGACCTTGTTCTCATCTCACTTAACGTTTCGTTACAGGTTTAGCAAGTCAAAACCTAGGGCTAGGCGGTCAGAATCTCATCAGTGGTCAGAACCTATCGCTGGGCGCGCAAAGCATAGGCCTGATGGGGCAGAACCTCGGCCAGTTGGTAGCCCAGAGAGCAGTATCGCACGCGCTTGCAAGGCGAGCGGCTGATATGGAGATGGCCAGTGAGTATGGTACTATTACTATACATTTAATTTAAGCTGATACAATATTACGTCAAAATAATTAATTTTCCGGCGAGTACGCCTATGGAATATAAATTAATATTACTACATATTGAAGAGAAGAGACATTGCAAAAAATTAATGAATATGCTAGCTCTAACTACGACTACTACTACCACAGAATAATAATAAGTACTACGTACAGAAGTTTTACTTCGCGAAGGTATTTAAAAAAAATATTCTCAATGTCATTAACAATATGGTGTAATTTAGCCTGTCTCAAGAGTCAAGCACCATTTTGTTGTCAAACGTCAGTGATCGGCACTGCGCCGAAGCTATAGGGCTGACTTCGGTAAAATGATGTGACGTGAGGTGCCAAACTGCGGAAAATGGCGGAGGAAATACATTATTTAGCATGAATTATCATGAATAATATTAACTACTTATTTACCTCTATGTCTTGAGGCAACTTAAAAAAGTACATTCTGTGTTTTTATTATTATTTTGGCAGTTAAATACTGCACAGTATTTAGTACACCATTTTCTTTATTTTCTTCCATCATACACAAGAATACGCGTGCGTGAGTCAATCTTCGTTCGTGTGAGGCCTTGTCGAATAGTATCCTGTAGGTGGGCCATCGTACGTGTTTTGTTTTCGATGTAAACTCGCGGAGATGAACAGGCCTGCTACTACTATGACTAGATGCCGTCTCTTAATATGGTGTAGGTCTGTTTCTTTTTACGCGGTCGGCAACTCACGTTGGCGATGGCGATGGCGATCACTGTGCGTGCATAGATCACCGTGACCAATGACAGGACGCGTTAATACGAACTCATCGCTACAAATTCATACATCACATCTGATCGCCATCGCGCGCATAGGATGCACGCGTTGTATTGACCGAACCATTAGTTTAGGGTGTCATTTTAGGACATCATATCATTTCTTGTTGTACAGACGAAAACACAGCATAGTCTCCTGCAAAATTAATGTTATTACAGCTACATAAGATTCCACATTGTTTAGCTTGAATGAGGGTTTTCGCGTATGAAAGATCCGCTAGATGGCGGGACGTGGATGTGGGGTCTGACTGCTGCGTGATTGGTGGATTTTGACATATCTGTCAATGTCATGTCAAAAATAACCAATCATGCAGCATTTGGACCTCGCGTCTACGTATTGCCATCTGGCGGATTTTTCATACGCGAAAACCCTTATTACCGTCGTCTGTCCATCAAGCGATATAGTTTTGGTGGTGTCAAGCATGATATTTGTTGCAGACATGACGAGCGCGAACTCGACGGGCTCTACGGCGCCGGGCACGCCCAACAAGAGCCACTCCTACAGCGAGTACATGCTGTCGCTGCACCACAAGCTCGCTTCCATCTCCAACAGTGTAAGTCCATGGCTTTACAACTAAACTCCATAGCGTTTCTTCTCAGCACTTGCCATATGTTTGTCTCGAAGCGCTGGTAGGGCCCAAAAGAAAAGGAGACATGAAAAGTGCCCCATAAGGGCTACCTTTTTTATTTACTGTATTTTGGCGTTCATAAGTGCCACCAGTGGTCTAAATTGAATAAAATATTTTTGATTTTGATTGAAAATATTTATTAAATACGTCCACTGTTACAGTGCTTTCACATTTAGGAAACTAAAAGCGCGACAAACGTGCGATAGACGCGCTGCCGGTGATTTCATGCTATAAGACAGCAGATGCCTGTCTTTACATTATTAAACGCCGCTGCCGTGAATGCGGTCTAAGCCCTTCCTCAAGATTTTCACAGCATAAAATTCCTGAGCTGCTGAGGACAGGAGCTTACCGTAACCTTCACCAGAGTGAAACTAACTTACTAAAGCCGTTATGGAATACATATTATGTGTAGGTTAAAAAAAAGAAAAATAATTGTATCATTGGAAGAAATAAAAGCGTTTGGTACCCAAAGTTTTTTGATGTTTTCTAAAAAAGATTTTATCCAAATCTATTAACGGTCTATTTCTATCTGCTTATTCGTTTGTTGTTTGTTCATCGACTTGGTTTTTCGCTACAGGGCCCGGTGTCACCGCAGTCTCCGCTGGAATACAGTCCTGCTCTCTCGCCGACGCACCGGCCGCTACATTCCTTGGCTAAGGTGCGTATATGAACCTTTTCTTCACTCATAAAATAGTACAGAATAGAACTGGCTTCCCCCTTTTATATTTTTTGTGTGTGCCGAAAGTTTTATTTTATCTTACGGGACTAATCCCATCTTTTTTTCTCACCACTGTAACTCTTGTATCCTATCTACAATTTGACCTCCAATGAAACCGAACCAATGAAGGTCAAGTTTGTACCGGGGGAAAGTTGAACTATCTTTGGATCCGCAACGAAATTAATCAGAAGAACATAGGAGGAGTTAGAAGTTGGGTTCGACTTCCCTCCATTGGAAAGCGGATGACGGGTGACAAACAAAGTTTTAGTAACCTCTAAGAAAAGATGTGTAACACGGACAATAAACATCTATTAAGGGGACCTATTTTATGAGCTATCAGCTACCTGCCAATAGTGTTCGTTCGTTTGAGCCAAATGACGTTCACTGCTGACAAAGGCCTTCCAAGGATTTCCATAACAACCGGTCTTGCGCTGCCCGCATCCAGGCTCTTTCCGCGACCTTCACAAGATCGCCAATAATGTATTCTTCTTCTTCGTCGCTACACTCTTGCCAGAGAATGGTCGTGGTAGTCACACCAGGTCCGGTGGCAAGCCTCACAATCCGTCGCCATTCCTCCCGCACTGCAGCCTTTCTTGTGCACTCGTGGAGTGGACCATTGAGTGCGGTTTTGACCTGGTCAGTCCAGCTCTTGTGCCTTCAACCTTCCCAATAATGTATAGCGTTACATTAATAGTGTCCCTTTCCCTCTGTATACAGTCGGAGGTGACGGACGGCGCGGAGAGCCAAGCGTCGCAAAGCACGCGGCACGCGGAAGCGCTGGCCAACCTCGACCACGAGCTCAGCAAGATCAGTCTGCAGTACAAGCACCACCAGCCCAAGGTAACGCCCCTTTTAGATATAGTAATCTGTTGTGGGATATGATGTTGATCCACAATAAGGAAGCTAGATGTTAGTGCTTCCTTCCGAGCGGGTGTTGTGCTCGGGGACCAAGGTCCAATTTACACCATCTTGGTTTGTCTATATATACTTTGGCAGGATCTAAAACTCCGTCACCGCGATGCAGGTTTGTATGAGCGGCGGAGTGTGCCATAGTGAAGTAGTGACAGCGCCATCTGTTGGTCACTAGTTTGTAGTGGCGTCGCCACACTGTTATCTTTTTACTGTGGCCTCGTAAAGTTTTCAAAACACTTCAATCTACTCTAAAAATCTAATCCTGGGAGTTGTTTTTCTATGTACAAAATCTTTTGGTGTGTCGCGTTTTGTATTTGAAGAATGTAGTGTAAACATCTTGCTTTGAACCCGGTGGGTGAGATCACTTACTTGTCTTCACGGAATCCCTAAAAAACAATAGAACTAAATTTTTGACAATATGTAAAGCCCGGTCTCCGAGCACGTAGAGTTTTGTCCAATGACCCCATGCTACCCATCCTTATCGCTCGCGCGTAATTATATTGCTGTCGCGACTGTGCGACGGGCGCTCGCAGTGAGTGTGCGAGCGCGACAGAAAATTCTACGTGCGTAAATTTTTGGTGTTTATTTATTGCAGGATGTGTTCATAGACCACACTGCGGAGCAACACGAGATGCTCGGCGCTAACATCAACGACAGCTCCGTCAACACCTACGAAGGTCAGTTAGGCTTGTGCCGCGCTGAAAATGTCCTTTTTGTGTAGCCTTTTATGAATCATTCAGCCTTCAACCCAACTAAAGCCCGGTCTGTAAGCACGTAGAATTTTGTCGAATGACCCCAAGCTACCCATCCTTATCGCTCGCGCGTAATTATATTGCTGTCGCGACTGTGCGACGGGCGCCCGCAGTGAGTGTGCGAGCGCGACAGCAACATATTACAAAATTCTACGTGCTCACAGACCAGACTATATAATTTATCATTGACAATGATACTCGTATTTCGTCAGGTTGATGTTTATCGGATTATTCATGAAAATGAAATTCATGACTTATTAATGTATGTTCCCTTCTAGATTTGGGGAGCATGTGGGAGAGCGGATCAGCGCGGTTTCGCGTGTCACGCGCGGCGCCCTGCCGCGGCTACTCGTTATGTCGCTTATTACCACACCACGGTGAGTGTTTTTTATTAATTAACTAGCTGACCCGGCGCACTTTGTTCCGCCTTAATGGCAATAAATAAGCAGACTTTGTTTTTTAATTTCGAACGGGATAAAAAGTATCCTATGTCCTTCTCCTGGCTCTAAACTACCTCCCTGACAATTTTCAGCTAAATCGGTTCAGCCGTTCTTGAGTTATAAGTGGTGTAACTAACACGACTTTCTTTTATATACAGTGTGAGTCACGTTAAAGTGTACATATGAAAATAGATTAAAATAGACCTATTTTTATCGACAAAAAAGAGGTCAAAAATTTTTTGAGATTTTTTTTTAATTTTTTTTAGAATTTTTTTTCTTCCAATTACTTATTGTAAAAAAAACGTAATAACTTTAAAACTAAGCGGTATATCCTGATAAAATAAAAACAGTAATAATGCTAAATAACAGACGATACTGAAAAAATACATAAAATACCCAGAAAATGCCAACAAATAATAAAAAATGATACTTTTTGAAAAAAATCTGCTTAAAACTTCGTATTTTTTTGGTTATTTGATGAATTTCTCAAAAAAATGCCCCTATAACAGGTGGTTTTTATTACTTTGTATTATTTTCTATCGTATTATCTTTGTAAAACCAAAAATCGCATGTCTCTATCCCTATCACAACATTTGCTATGATCGTTTGAACTAAGCCGCCCCGGGCGCGCCATTCAACGCTTCGTTAACAACGAAACTGAAAATGGCTCTAGATTTGTAATTTTGATAAAGACAAGTTAGATTTCAAATAAAACCAAAAGATTTCGAAGTAAAATAATTTTTTTATTTTATCAGGATATACCGCTTAGTTTAAAAGTTATTACGTTTTCTTTACAATAAGTAATTGGAAGAAAAAAAATTCTATATAAAAATAAAAAAAAAATCTCAAAAAATTTTTGACCTCTTTTTTGTCGATAAAAATAGGTCTAGTTTCATCTATTTTCATATGTACACTTTAACGTGACTCACACTGTATATAGATTTAGGAATATCTTGTTATAATTCACTCATACGGAATACTCTATACGCATTAATATGTAAAAGTATCAAGGTGTGATTTCTTTTAGCTTTGTGTCAATCGTTTTTAAGACACGTCGCTCTTCAATCATTTTTCTAACTGCCATCACGTCAAATGGCTGGCAGGAAGTAGTAGCACCTAAACTGCTAAGGGCGTCTACGATAAAATTTGCGCGGATACATGGACGGTGACGCTTCTGACGTGCATCTGTGGTGGCAATTTGTCATACGCATGCGTGCCACATTGCACTGCTCAAAACATGTGCGGCGCCTGCGCAAGTTTCAAGCAAAGGCCCTTAGGCGATTTTGTTATTTGTTTGAAAGAAAACTAATTATTCATTTCATTCATCAGCGAAAGACAAACTGGACATCAGCAGCGCCGTGGACGGCTTCGACGAGACCGAAACGAACGACACAACAGAAGCCGGCTCGGCGCTCGACTCGTGCGCGCACCCGGCCTGCGCGCGAGACACCTACGTCGTCACCCCCCGCGCCGCCGCCGCCTACCTCGTCAGCCCGGCGCTCGCACGCCCCGCCACCATCATCGACCCGCGCGCGCAGGTAGGGGCACACAGGTGCCAGCAGGTGCGACACCTGCGTCGTCACGCCGCGCGCCGCCGCCGCCTACCTCGTCAGCCCGGCGCTCGCCCGCCCCGCCACCATCATCGACCCGCGCGCGCAGGTAGGGGCACACAGGTGCCAGCAGGTGCGACACCTGCGTCGTCACGCCGCGCGCCGCCGCCGCCTACCTCGTCAGCCCGGCGCTCGCCCGCCCCGCCACCATCATCGACCCGCGCGCGCAGGTAGGGGCACACAGGTGCCAGCAGGTGCGACACCTGCGTCGTCACGCCGCGCGCCGCCGCCGCCTACCTCGTCAGCCCGGCGCTCGCCCGCCCCGCCACCATCATCGACCCGCGCGCGCAGGTAGGGGCACACAGGTGCCAGCAGGTGCGACACCTGCGTCGTCACGCCGCGCGCCGCCGCCGCCTACCTCGTCAGCCCGGCGCTCGCCCGCCCCGCCACCATCATCGACCCGCGCGCGCAGGTAGGGGCACACAGGTGCCAGCAGGTGCGACACCTGCGTCGTCACGCCGCGCGCCGCCGCCGCCTACCTCGTCAGCCCGGCGCTCGCCCGCCCCGCCACCATCATCGACCCGCGCGCGCAGGTAGGGGCACACAGGTGCCAGCAGGTGCGACACCTGCGTCGTCACGCCGCGCGCCGCCGCCGCCTACCTCGTCAGCCCGGCGCTCGCCCGCCCCGCCACCATCATCGACCCGCGCGCGCAGGTAGGGGCACACAGGTGCCAGCAGGTGCGACACCTGCGTCGTCACGCCGCGCGCCGCCGCCGCCTACCTCGTCAGCCCGGCGCTCGCCCGCCCCGCCACCATCATCGACCCGCGCGCGCAGGTAGGGGCACACAGGTGCCAGCAGGTGCGACACCTGCGTCGTCACGCCGCGCGCCGCCGCCGCCTACCTCGTCAGCCCGGCGCTCGCACGCCCCGCCACCATCATAGACCCGCGCGCGCAGGTAGGGGCACACAGGTGCCAGCAGGTGTGACACCTGCGTTGTAACGCCGCGCGCCGCCGCCGCCTACCTCGTCAGCCCGGCGCACCATCATCGACCCGCGCGCGCAGGTAGGGGCACACAGGTGCCAGCAGGTGCGACACCTGCGTCGTCATGCTAGGAGGAGGGCAGAGAGATGCCAACACCATTATTACTACATCAGTATGCATCTACGAGAGCTATTCTATTCTCCAAAGTTTGGAATGTTTCTATTTCTCTCAGAGTAGGCGCACACCGTTGATTTTTTGTCGGCCGATAGTTTAGTCGGGCAGTTGATCAGCCGATTCGATTTGGCCGATTCTTCATACAATTGTAAATCGGGCACAACTATCGGCCCACTAAAAATCAACGGTGTGCGCCTACTCTCACTCAAGACGAAATGACAGCCGTATACACACATAAGTTTCATCAACATTGTCGATTGTCATGTACTTTAAGCCCATTATAAAACCATCCATTAATAACCTATCCCATTCCAGATGGAGCCATCAGCGCCCAGCAGTTCTCCCGGCGACGACACACCACACAGCTTCCTCGTGCTGGACAGCTCGCGCGCGCTCACGTGCGCCGTGCTGGCGCGCGCTCTACCGCTTCATCAGGACCCAGCCTTCCGGGACTACACTGATGCACCGCCAACGCCCGTGCAAGTGCCCAACGAGGTGAGACTTAAGGCCTACTATAAGGAGGGTTTTAGTCACCCTGCCATCGCTCGGCCGTCGCCAGTTTCGTGCCCGCAGACTTATAATCGTACTGACCGCTCGCTGATGCCTTAGGGCCTACTCTAAAGCTGGATCATTACTAGAAGCAGCCTCGGGTCGCTTAAACACCACCCTCACCCGTGTAAGCGCCCAACGAAGTGAGACCCAGCCTTTCGCGACTATACTGATGCACCGCCAATGCCCGTGCAAGTGCCCAACGAGGTGAGACTTGGGCGGGATTTAGAGTCCTGCTAACTGCTCGCTGATGCCTTAGGTCTATTCTAAAGCCGGATTTCCACTAGAAGCAGCCTCGGGTCGCTTGAACACCACACTCGCCCGTGTAAGCGCCCAACGAAATGAGACCCAGCCTTTCGCGACTATACTAATGCGCCGCCAATGCCCGTGCAAGCGCCCAACGAGGTGAGACTTTGACAGGTTTTCAGTTGCAGTTTGCAGAGCGGTTAGCATCACTGAGCGCGCTCCTATTGTTCCGTAGCGCGTCAGTCAACTGACGTATGCGTCACTGTCGAGCGAGATTGACGCGCGTCGTACGCGGCGTACTAAATCACCTGCTGTTAGCGACGGCGTTGCAGTGCGGTGCTTCATAAAACTAGTGTATATTCGTACGCGCGACCTATATCGGGAAGTGCGGGTCAGTGCCGATCTTAGGGCCTACTCTAAGGCCGCTACCTCGAATCTCGCGAGCAGTAGGCTGGTGACGACACGCCTCACAGCTTCCTTGTTACATTATGACGTCGCTGCTGTCATCATTGCTTTCACGAGCAATGTGTTACTGCGACACCGACCCCACCCCCTTGTCACATCTCCCTTTGGTTTCTGTGATCTGTGTCAGATACCTAGTATAAAATTAAGAATTACACCAATTCTATTGATTAAACAATAGCTCTAACCTAAAATATTATGATTATAATTATTTAGGCAAACCTACCTAGTGAGTGATATTATAATCACCCACTATGTAACCCCTGAACCCGCTAAATTAAACGTCTGTAGAATGTTTTATTTGTAGTTACCAACCGCAAGACATTTTACAACCACTTTACTCTTACATAAAGCAGAAGATTTTACGTCATCGAGGTATTTTTTCTGCAGAACCTAGTATATCTGAATTAGAAAGACACGGGTCTTAACGTGACGTTTGTGAATGAGTTACATTATGTACTCATGGCTTGACGTTTCGGCTGCTATGCTGCAGCCGTGGTCACAAGCAGACTAGCGGCTCGCTGACATAAACGTCGCGTTAAGACCCGTGTCTTTCTATTTTAGTTGAAATGGAATTTAGTATAACTGTTACAGGAAATGTATGAATTCTAGGAATTGTATACTATTCCTAGGAAATGTATACAATTCCGAAGCTATTTAGGAAATGTATAAAATATTGCTTCAGAGATTTTTTAATACGCACATATCCTAGGAAATGTATACTTTTCCTAGGAATTTTATAGAATTCCAATATTGTATTAGGAAATGTATAAAACTAAGCGGCACAAGCGCGATCGCGTGATCGGGTGCCCCTCGGTACGCCTAAAATTTCATTTAGTCAAACCACATTGGCCGATAGGTACTTTTAACTCACAATTATTATTGTTTAGCCTGACAGTTGATTTCGCACTATTATACTTTGGCCGAAAAAAATATTTGCCTATTGGCATCCTTTCTTTCGGCATCACGCATAATTACGCTGAAGTATTGGAAATCCCTAATTTTAACATCTCTTTTATTAAACTTATTGGCATGAAGGTTTTAATACTTCTGTAGCTGGATAACAAAGTCTCGGTTAGGTTAGGTTAGACTTGCGACCTTACACATACACAGCTGCCGCGGCGCGGTAGCGCCATTCAAGTTTCGGAGAAAAAAAAGTGGCGTAATAAAAATAATTTTGTGTAAAAAAATTTTAGGCTTAAAATTTGTGTGCCATAGACAACAAGGCGTGCAAAAAATTTGACGATTCGATAGAGACCCCGCGTAACCGGATGATGCAATATCTTCCCCTCGCACCGTATATCCACGCGTATTCATTGAAATCTTAATTACATTTCCGATTGCTGTTTAGGAAATGTGTAAATTTCCTAGGAAATGTGTCTAATATAATTTACATCACACATTTCCGGGTGATTTTAGGACTTATATACAATTCCTAGGAATTGTATACAATGACGGATTTCATACATTTCCTGTAACATAACTAATAAACCCATGTTTTCTCCCCAGTGCACGGAGAGCGTGGCGGCGTCGGAGGAGCTAGCAAGCTGGGCGGGCGCGGAGGGCGGGCGCGCCTCCAACGGCCGCGGGCTCGTGGCCGAGCTCGTCGTGCACGAGGCCTTCACGGACAAAGGTCAGTGCCACTCACAGCGCCGCGGACTAATTTATTAATGCCAATAGACTATTTGACACCATTCTCCAATAATTCGAAATCATAACTTTTTTTAAAATACACTTAATGGGGATGTTGCCTGGGTCAAAAAGCAAGAGTTTTAATTAGTCCGTCAGTTAACTTATCAAAAAATACTCTACACGTATTTTTCACTTTTTCAAACTAATGAAAATTTAAAGAGATAAAGCGCCCCAAAGTTCATAAGAAGAGGCCCGTGACGTCAACGCTTGCTTAAAAATGCCGCACGTTGTGACGTCGTGCGCAACTTCAACGCACCATAACTATGTAATTATTTGTTAGATTGACAAATAAAAATATACGTGTCCAATATTTTTTGATATTAAACATTACGGACTAAAAAAATTTTTTTAGGCAACTAGCCTATTCTGGGTCTTTAAAACTTAGTTTATTTTAAATTACCCATAAATTAAGATTATTGGTTGCATTACAATTGAAAAAAGTAGTTCCAATTGATTTGATAAATGGTGACGTCACTTGCTTGTATTGCCATACAAAATCTATGGGAGAGTCTCGTTTTGACAGTTTTAAAAAGTGCGTCAATTGATTGGTGGTGATAATTGCTGAGCCTGTTGGCACAGTTTATACCTTCTATTTTTGTCATATACTATAAAGTTGAGTTGCACTATCTTATTTTAACTTTGACAGACGTCAAAAATCTGTCAAACTCCATACAAAAAGCACCGGTTATTGTTATTTTTACGGTTAAAATAAGATGGTGCAACTTAGCCTTAATGTTTTGTGTCAATAAACTATTTCTATCCAGAACGCAAAACTTGTATGAAACATTTTGATGCGCACGCGCACACGTTTGTTGCAGCGCGATGCCGGCAGGTGGTGCTGGTGGCGCTGGCGCAGTTATGACGTGTGTAGCGGATCACCTTGTACCTTATATTTATTATGTACCCTGTAACATATTATACTATATCATTATTCGTAAATAAAATATTCATATGTGATATCTAGACATACGACTTTTATTTGCCGTACAGATTGGTCGTGTTCCTCTGAGAAATTGTTTTGAGTTACCATTTATTTAAAACGTATTTTTATACAAACATTTTATCAATCAAAACACTGTTTATAAATAAGCATTAATCTTTGGCTTGTTTGTAAAATGCTAAAATAATATAAATGCTTTTTTTTTCATAAAATTTTATGCTATAAGCAGTTAAGAAGCACCTATCATGATAGGTAATCAGTACAAAATGAAGCCCATGACTCCCAGAGGCAATAAAAATCTAAAAATTTTGTATAAAAATAAATTTATTGTCCTAAATACTAACATTTACTGCGTATTTACAATTTTATTAAGGTACCAAATTACGCTTACAGTACTTTGAAAGTGAATAACAGATAGTAAAAAAATATAAATAGTTTTGTCAATAATTTGCTATACTTTATTATAGCAAAAAATAACATTTTTCTAGACTCATCTCAGGGCAAGGGAATAAAAACACTCCCTTGGTGAGATTATAAAAAGGTAAATTCATTAAAAGTCCTTGATCATCAGCGTGAATGAAGCCAAGAGTGACGTCACCAGGAGCAATGAGGTCGCGGTCGTGCTGCCACTGAGCCTTGGACTGCTGCTGTACTGGTTGACCTGAAAACATACATTATTATCAGTTTATTTCTGTGATCTATCTATATCTACAAAAGCGAAAGGTCACTGATTTACTGAGGCCTTGTCCAGTAGTCCTAAGATGGGCGCCGCGATAAGCGGTTATCACGCCATTTTATCGATTTTCCCCATACATTTTGACGTCGATAAAAGTTATCACGGCGCGCATCTTAGGCCTACAGGAGGGCGAATTCGCCGCGAATGTCTTCGCGCGAACACGAGCGTATGTGTGACGCGATTTACGCGCGAATTTACAACTCGCGCGTGTCTTGTGGACGCAATGTATTGGCTGCTAGTATCTTGCCAACGCGCGTATGATTCGCGGCGAATTCGCCCTCCTGGACTAGGCCTGACACACTCATCACAAAATCTCAGAAACTACAAGTGCTAGGAGTCTCAAATTTTGCATGGGGGTTCCTTTTAGAACGTAGGTGCTCACTAAGAACGGATTTTACGAAACTCCACCCCTAAGGTGTAAAACCGGATCCACGCGTACGAAGTCGTGGGCGGCCGCTAGTACATAATAAAGGTCATAGCAAACTTATCAACTCGGAAAGTAATCAACACCGTATCGCCTTTCGCGAGCTGTCATCGTCTTTCGCGCCCTGTCAACCGCGAGGCGAGGCGTTTGCGTAACGGTGCGGATAAAAAGAATACTGACCGCTTCGAGTTGATACGGTTACGATCCCTTTCCGGGTTGATAGTGTGCTACGTCCTCAAGATTCACATCGTAAAACTATTGGAATCAGATCTTATCGCTCTCAACCAGTTATCTTTGCGTTTCATCTTCGCGAGAGAGATAAGTAGAACCAATTTGTCTGGGGGAAAAATGCGTTCGACATGAATTGCACTATAACAAAACGTGCAGTATTCGTATACAAATAAAATTCCCGTTATCTACCGCGAATTTTATTGTTTATTATCTGGATAAAGATAACCGTAGATATCGCATTACTCACGCCGATAACTGACCCATTTACTGATTAAACTGATAGATAAACATGCTGAAATATAAATATCGAAATGCGTATGATATCTTAATTATAAACTACTTTTTTCCATACTATTACAATTTGACCACCAGTAAATTGTAACTACACACACCGGCAGATTTAGCGGAACGCAAAAAAAAGTATGAAAATAAGGAAAATTACTACTGATCTATGAAATATTTATTATACAAAATAAAGAGATAATTAAAATAAAATAAAATAACATATATTTTTTAAATAAATAGTCGTTTTTATTTAATAAAAAATCATCGAAACGAAATTTCAATTTTTCAGTTTTGAACAAAAATTAGAAATTGTGGCCAGATTAAAAATTAGGGTAGCTTATCACTATCCAAATGAATGAATTAATGATGGGTATTTCCCCCTCTTGCTCTGATGATGGTTTCCATTCATCTGAGCATGCTGCAGTTAATGATATGAAGGGTATTTTGGGGCAATGTCTGCCATTCCTCTAGTAACGCGTTTCTCAACACCACCGGTGGTATTCTGAGTTTAACACATCTTTTAAGAAAGTCCAAGACATGCTCTATAGGATTCTTGTCTAGGGATCTTGCCAGCCACTGCATCATGGGTATATCCAAATGGTTTAGATGTGCCTGTACTGAGCGAGCACTGTGAAAACGAACATTATCGTGAATTAAACTAAAGGAGTCCACAATAAATGGAGTAAATGGCACATCATGTTCTTCTAAAATGTTCCTAGTGTACCATTCAGAAGTCGTATTTCCTCCATCACCCACCACTAACTCCGTGCGAGCTCCCAAAAAAATCCTTCCCCACACCAGAATTAAGCTACCTCCATAAACCACGATATTTTCAAAATTAAGACTAAATGTTACGTTCTCTTTGTGTCTCCATATTCGCTATCTTCCATCGATCTGGTTTAAGAGAACTCTGCACTCATAAGTGAAGAGATCATGCCTCCAGTCGTTCAAGACCCAATCACGATATTCACGTGAAAAGTTCAATATGTTTTTTCGGTGCTGTGTCACAAGTTGGAGCTTTCTCGGGTATGCACGACCCTATACCAACTTCAGTAAATCTCCTGTGAACTGTGGGCTCAGTCACTCTTACTCCTCGAGTGTCTTTAAGGTTATTTCTGGCTTGAACAGCAGGTAACCGCGACTTTCTGAAAACTCGAAGTTGTAAAAAACGGTCATCCCGTCGCGAAGTACGCCTTTTTCTGACTTGAACCCTCCTCCTAACGACAGAAATGATCAATCTGTACCGTTGGTTACTGCCATGGGTGGTCGATACTGATCAACGACGTCTTACGGCAGCCGATTTGTATGCATGGCCGTTACTTCTCATTTCATCTGCCTTAATGATTTCTGACGGTGCTAAGCTGGGCATAATAAACCCTTATAAGTAACTGAATGCTTACACAACAATATTCTCAGAAAAAAACATCTTTCACGTAAAAGAAATCCAAATTAGCAAAAGCTTCATTCAATTCAAAACACTCAACGAAACTGTTGATGGGGTAATTTAAACAAAATAATTAAAAAAATATACTGTTGGCAATTATTTTTTTCATATTTAGAATTAAATTAAAAAATAATGTCATAATTAGGCATTTTTTTCCTAAAATAATGATGATATTGATGCTTTTTTTTCCGTTCCTCTAAATCTGCCGGTGTGTGTAGTAAATGCTGGGCAGTTTAAATCGAATCTTTATTTATGATCTGGTGTAATTATGACTCGTAATTTTGTCACCGACAATTATGATAAAAAAACATATTGAATAAGCTGTTTCTAAAAATAATAATAATCGAGAAGCATCGCCAGATTAAAAATAAGAAGTTCAATGCCGGCTTCTGCGGTGGCATGATGCTATTATGCTGGTTTTGTTTGAGGACTTATCGTAAACCGTGTATCTGCTATGTTTACCTAAAGCCGGGTCTCCAGTGTGTTTTACCCTACACAATCAACAAAAGCATGTCAACATTCAACATTTTTGTAGACAATTTGTTGAATGTCGACATGTTTTTGTGTGATTGGCTTACATTAATATTCCAAATAAAGTTCATTTATCATTATCATTACCGTGGCGTTGATCCAATTGGTGAAGGAAGCGACGCGCGCACTGACGCCAGGGTATGATGGGTGACCGCAGGAGTAGCCCCACGACGTGATGCCGACCACGATGTTTCCGTACAGCAGCGGGCCTCCGCTGTCGCCTTGGCACGCGTCTGCGCCTGCAACGAATATTTTAATATTTTTGCTGTTCATCATCAGTACCTCTAGCATGAACAACTTTCGTCTTCGAATCGTTTGCGTATTCGAAAAAATTCGATACTCAATCTTCGAATTAAACGATATCGGGACAATTTCGATTCTCAAAATAAATTTCGTGCAACCACATCTCATACTAAGTTCACTTTACGACACGTTCACAAGGGCGCCGTTGTAGTTTTCGTACTAAATCTTTTGATGGCGATTCGAATACGCAAACGATTCGAACTCGAAAGTTTTTCGTGCTAGCCGTACCTACTGATCATTTAGAGCGCACCCAGACAAATATTTCGACAACCTAGGACAAACTGTGCTGGCATGGCACATCAGAACCAGGGATGCTAAGGATGCTACGCGACCCACATAGCCACTTATGTACTATGACGACACCTATGATAAAGGTAAAACAGGCGAAGATATTAGATGGTGCCAGAGAATTCCAGACCAGTAACAAATATTGGAAAAAAAATAATTTAGACTCCGCCTTTATTCGAAACTTTGTTTCTATGTTCAGCAATGTACGATAACGGCTTATGATGATGATGATGAATATATTTTCCCTATTCCTCTTGTTGCAAACTTCTTCGTTAAGAAGTTAGAATATAGATACGTACCTCCAACATCAAGAAGTCCAGCGCATATCATGTTGGTAGTGACGAGGAAGGGTTCGCCCGTGATGGCCTGCAGGTAGCGGTACCTCTCCGCGCATGTCGTCCAGTTCACCTTCCGCACAGTTACCTCCTGCAGCGTCGTTGGCAACGCGTTGATTCCCGCCTGAAAATCAAATTAAAAATGAAAGAAAGTCGGGAAGTCAAATTGAAAACCGCAAGTAGAAAAAAGCAAGACAAAGGTGGTGGTGGAAACTTCATTTTTTGTCTGGTCCGTAAGCACGTAGAATTTTGTCCAATGACCCCTAGCTACCCATCCTTATCGCTCGCGCGTAATTATGTTGCTATCGCGCTCGCACACTCACTGGGTGCCAGTCGCACAGTCGCGACAACAATATAATTACGCGCGAGCGATAAGGATGGGTAGCTAGGGGTCATTGGACAAAATTCTACGTGCTCACGGACCGGGCTTTAGACATTTTTTCCCTTC